GTTCATTTTTCAAAACAAAATAGGCTAGAACTTGCTTAGGCCAACATATTAGTAATACAATTCAAGTTCATATATATTGAACAATACAGTTCATTAAACCAATAATTTAAAATGACAGGATGGAAGCTGGCATAGGGACTCAAACATTATAACAATGAAGTCTCTTAAATGATCCCATGAAAAACCTTATACTGACAGAGTGGGTTTTTTCGGGGGTGGGGAGGGGGAGGGGTTGGACATTCTCTACCTGTACCTGATAAAGAGGCACATGGACCCCCAGGAAAATAAGACGATTCCTGTGAACTAAATTAAGTGCTTGTTGTGTTGTGGAACCACCACAAGTAAGAGAGTGACTATTGTAGAAGCATAAGGGATAGAAACAAAGGAAAGGAAACATTCAGTTCTGACCCGATACCTCTCCCCAGTTGCTGCACAAGAAAACCCCGAACCAATCCGAAAAGCAAACAAAAACCCCACCACGGACTATACTTAAAACAGGAATAAGAATACCACATATAAGGATTTTACTTACAAAATCCCAAAACTATGGTGTATAAGCACTCAACCTTTGTGCCACTTGCAGGAAATAAGTTTCCCTATACAGTACTAAGGTTTGCAAGTTTACAGATGTTTTTAAACCCTGCATTTGTGCTGGTTTTTGTACCCTAGGTATGAGACAATTAATGGTGCTCCAGGTGAACTGAACCCAAGAAACTCCCGATTTAGGGCTGCCAGTATAGTCTAAACAGTGTCCCTAGAGTGTCTAAGTACCTCTAGATCCCCAGTTCAAATCCAGCTTTTGATGCAACCCTTAAATGTGGTATTATTTTTTAAGCCTAAAAAGGTTAATTATTTCCAAAATTAGTATAAAGTTAAAATAAATTCAAACTAGCTACAATCTATTTAATCCAAGCACAGCACCGCCAGAAGTTTCACACACACTATTTGGTGTTTCATGTTGATTTTCCTTTCACTCTTTAAGGCAGTGGTTTCCACAGGTCAGTTTAGAGAATATTAAGAAGCATGGTCCATGGCAATTCATGTCGCAATTCCATCCTTTTCGGCAGGGGATCCCATTCCCCAAACTGTTAGTGCTTTTTGTTCCATTATCCAGAGTTAGAAGATTTGAGCCTGTAGGCTCTGATCTGGCACAGTTAATCTATAGCTGGCACACTTTCATCAGGACCTCACTTCCAAATGATGAGAAAGTTCTAATTGTTCTTTCACATTCTGAATTAGCCTTTTACTCAAAAGTCATCAAGTTGGCAGGAACCTGAAAATAAGAACAAAAGGAACAGCTGATTTTAGTCTGGGAATTAACTTTCCACATTCCATCTTTTCACAAATCATTTGCCTGCTTAAATGTATAGTTTAGCTCCCCTTTTCAAAGGGAAAACACGCTGCTCTAAAGAACAATTCATAACCAAGTCAAACAGTACAAGAATAACTAAAACCAGGAAAAAACAAACCCGTACAGAGAATGGCAGACACCGAAGTGAAGCATTGGTTATAAACATAGTACACTATGATTTGGCCCTAATCCCTGTTCTGCCAGTATGAATTGTGACAATACATTTTGGCTACAACTGTGAATTTAACTTAAAAAAAAAAACCTGACAAATCCGGAGTCAAAAACAAATGAAGATGGAGAAAGGACTCTCTCAGACAGGTGTCCCAAGTCATTGAATTCAAAGTAAACAGAAGTCAGGATGGGGCCAAGTCTTGTCATAATCAAGAAATATCAAACTCTTAACTTTGCAGAAGCATTCCCAAAAGCTGACAAGGAAGAAGAACCGAGCAGCATTTAACACTGTCCTCTAAAGCAGCGTTTCTCAACTGAGGGTTGCAACCCAAAAGTGGGTCAACAAGGCTGTCTGAAAGTGTCATGAACAAACTTAAAAAATAGATTCTTTTTTAAAGGAGAAAAATGTGGAAAATGGTGGTTTCCCCTTGCAGGCTGGCAGAGGTCCAGCCTGTAAGGGGCCACTTGGGGCCCCTCACACCCACTTCCCCATTCCCACCCCACCCACCAGGGGCCAGTGAGTCGGGACTGGCCATTGATGTTTACCAATGGGTCCTGGTACAAAAAAGGTTGAGAACCACTGCTCTAAAGGTTAGAAAAATGGAAGTGCAAGAAGGGACTGCTCCTACAAACACAAAGGAAAGGTCACTACGCCTCTAAGAACAAACTTAAAAGTCAGCAGCTTGTTCCATCTGAGGAAGTTGTATTTTCTCAGCAATGCTTGAGATAAAAAAAATCTGTTTCATTCCCCAAAAGATCCAGCTATTTATTAACTTTATCCATTGCTGTGTGTGTAGAATAGTCAAGTCTATAACAACTTTCATCAGCTGGACATACAGCTTGAGAGCCCAGCATGAGGCAAGTAAAAATATTCAGACAGACGAACAAAAGGCATTAAAACTTCAGTATTGGGAGAATCAAAGACCTTTTTTATCAGTCCATGGGTGCCCTTAAAAGGAGAAACAGAGGGTTTTGTGCCCTAAGCAAACCCTGCCTAACTCAGACACTGAAGGAGTGCAGGAGGAGAGTGGGGGTGCAAAGAAAGGAGGGTGCTAAGTGCTGGAGTGTGAGGACAGGGGAGTGGTCTGTCTCACCTGCTCTAAGGACACAAAGACCCCAAGCTGCTGCTGCGGTGTCCCACATCCAGCTCCTACAGCTGCTGGTGCCGAGTTGCAACTGCTGGGCTCCTATTGCCACAGTGTGAGGTTGCTACTATCACATCAAAGATTCCCTGGAGGGCCTCCATTTCAGCACCCCCTTTTAGGTTGGTGCTGGGGACTGGTCCCCCACTTGCGCACCCCTTGTCAAATTACTGCCTTAAAAAAAGAGATGACCCCAATCTCAGGTATGTAGCCTACAGAATGCTAAAGATCTCTGGAACTGTTCTTGGGGGTAACAATAAGGTCTATCCACAAGGCTTTTACAAGATTTCTTGGTAACTCATGGAAAAAGAATCAACTGATGAAGAGCTCAGATTCATCTGGAAAAGGTATGATTGGAGGTGTTGTTTCAAGTTCTTTAGTCACAATAAGCTTACCCTCCTATAGTATTACCCCCTCAGAGGCAAAAAGTGGTCAAGATTTGGTCAGTCTTTTACATCTCCCTCTCCCTAATTTGGGGCTGCTTGCAGATGTTAAAAAAAATGTGGCACTTTAAACTTGGTGCACTCCCAGAAGACGTAGCATGTTAACTGGACCCGGCTCACCTGACTTCTGTATAAATCAGGCACTTTAGTGGGGCTTTTTTGGCACTTTTATCTAATTGTGACAGCGGCGTGCCACCGTCACGGGCACAGAGAGGATTGGGGGGCAGCAACAACCCCTAAAAAGAACCCCGGGCCAGGTTACTTACCCCTGGGAGGGACGGCAGCGTTGGAGCTGGGACCGCGGTAGCAGCCACGGCTGCCATTACAGCCGCGCAAGCCGGCATTACGCCGGCTGTTTAAACAGCTGTTCCCGGTAAGGGGAACAGCTGAGCCAATCGCAGCGGCCGCAGCAGGAAAGTTTAAAAACCCCAGCAAACCCTGCGGCAGGGGGGAGCCAGGGAAGGAGGGAGGAGACGTGCAGCACGTCGGTGGTGCTGCGGCTTCCCCAGAGCGAGAGCCTCGGTCAGGCGGCTCTGCATCAGCTCAGCAGCTGAAGCGAGAACCAAACCCCCCAGCAGGGGCAGAAGCAGTGGTCCCCAGGGATTGTCGGGGCTAGGGCATTGATCCGGGAAGCCTCCCCATCCTGGAGGAATATTATTTCTAAGCCCAGGGGTGGAAAAGGGAGATGACCCGAGCTAGCAGCGGAGTCAGCAGGATTTTAAGACAGGCTGACTGAAGGCGACCGTTAGCCTAGGTCTCTACGGTCGGGAACACCTACCAGCAAAGAAAGCCTGCTAATAGCAGCAAGTCACCATCTCACCAGCAAGTGACCGGTTGGCGAGTGGACGGGGTGTAGGGGTGGCGGAGCCCCATGGAACAACGGAAGACTCAACCATGAGTACATCTGCGTTGGGGAACCCCTCTGGTAAAAGAGCTCCACTGAAGCCCTCCTTCAAATCACCCATAACATCAAAGTCGTGGCAGGAGGGACGAGGGGAGGGGCTACCTAACAGAGGGTGATACTGGACATGAGGCCCACCAACATCACACTAATAGCTGATTGGAGTCCGCTATTAGATAAAAGTGCCAAAAAGCCCTCCTGAAACACCCGATGTATACAGGTGCCAGGTCCAAGTAACGCACTGCTTCTTTCATTAAAGTGCAGTTTTTGTTTTTTCTAACATCTGCAAGAAGCTTTGTTGAATAAGAAAACTAACTGAACTCTACAATGGCCGGTGGAGGGAAGGAAGCTGGGGAAAA